TTATATATTTAAAATTTAATATAAATAATTCAAAATTACAAAGTGTGGTGAATAAAAACCAGACTAAAAACTACTACTACTACTTCTTCTTTTTTATTACATGGGAAAGCCATAAAAAGTAGACTTTACGTATACGTTGTTGAATGATTCATATTTAATATTTAAGTGAATGTATCTTTATATGAAAATATAGAAATAAAGAGAGAATGGGTTAAGAGTACAATGATCATACATATGCTTTTTTTCAATACAGCATTGCAACAAGTCATTGACATTTATAGCCATCTTTAAAAGATCTTATCTGTTCAATTTGTTGTTGTTAAGACTTCGGAGAGTTTGTCGGTAAATACAATTGAGTCTTTTTATCATCGGATTTACGAGTCATTAAGTATGCTTGACAAAGAATTATAATTTAAAGTTTAAAAGCTTCAGTATTAATATTAACATAAAATTTCTATTTTTTTCCAAAAACAATACAAGATTTCCAGAGCATATTAATAATCATTGGCAACAAACATAAGAATTCTCTAGGCTCGTACAACCTTTTATTGGTGTGCTTCTAACTTGCATCACATTTTATTTACACGTGTGCGCCTATCTAAATCGGATTGTATTCAACATAGCATTTCTTTTCATTCTTAAGTCTTAACTCAATCTTCAACAGTTTTTAAGGAAAATATTTAATCTAGTAGTTAAATCACCTGAAGATAAAGGCCCTTGAATTGTACACGGCAACACATTCTGATACAAACTAATGAATATTTCGCCTTTAATTCTTCATTCCTAACTCGCAATGGACACCATGATTATTTTACCTGGTCTAGAATATTTCATGTTGAAAACAGTTTTCTTCAAAATCAATTGCTTAAAAACAATTTTATTTTTTTCACCTGGTACCATCACAATGTAAATCCACATTCTATTCTAGTATTAAAAAAAAAAAAAACAAAACACAAAAGAAATTAATTTATATTTTGGGTAAAGCTTCAAACTTACACCATCTTATGTGGTGATATGAAAAATGCCACAACATAAGATGGTGTAAGTCTAATGTATGAAAAATATTATAATTTAGAAACGACGGGGATCTCTTGGCTACACACATCGAGGTGAAAACCATCAACTAATGGTATAATATAAATTAATTCAGTTTTTCATTTAACCTATAAAATATAAAAAATATACTCCCTCCGTCTCAAATTATAAAATACTTTTAAAAAAATTTTTCCATTCTAAAATACAACACACTTTAAGTAGATTAAAATTTCATTAAATATATCAATTATAATATTATCCTTTCTCTTTTTATAATAATTTTCAATCCTTTTCTTTTCAATGTATTAAATTCTGTATATTTTTATTTTAAAAATATAAAACTGTTAAGTATATTTAATGAAGTTTATTAGTATATAAAATTTTATTTAAAAGTGTCTTATAAGTTAAAACAAAAAAAGTACATTCTTAAACCGCATACGTGGAGAAAGTTCACCGTCTCGAAGGTGGGGCAGAGTCTGTAAAATTTGCCCAACTACATGAAAGGCTATAAAAATTTCGTATTCATTGAAATCCTTCAATTTAAATGTTGCTCTATTTGAATTCCATGGGCCCCATCGAAAGAAATTTAAATCAGCTAGATGATACGGCCCGTAATAATTATTACTTTTTCAGTAGCACTGGAATATCTCCAACAAAAAATGCAACGATGCTAAAAAGGCATATGTTATACGTACAGATTATTACAAAATTAATAGCACTATCTTTTCCGGAAAGGGGAAAAAAACAAATGAATTCAGCTAGAGGAAGCGCTCCAAGAGAACTTACCCAAACGACAAATGATGATATTGTAAACCTCGAAACAAAAGCATGCAACCGAAAGGGCAAATTAAGAGCTCATTTGTAATGCTGAGAAACCTCCCAAACTAGCTTATCCCATGAACTGGCATTTCTTGTCAATCCCCAGCCTGGATTGCTCTGCGTAAGTTCCAAATCAAACAAGCATGAGTATACAGTTCAATCCAGTGGGTCCTTCCTAATTTGCATTTCTCATGCTTAAATTGAGGAAAGAAACTTGAGAGGCAAATAATTAAATTTCATAAACTACAGGGTTTGAATCGTTTATGCAAAATCATTGCATATCGCAAGCATATAATTTGTAGGATTGTCGCATTATATATTTTCCCAAAACAAGCCCACCACATAAGAGATAACTCAAGAAATAAATCGCCTGGGTCTTGTCAAAAACAACTCTAGGTGACACAAAATGTTGTGGGTCTTGCACTAGCCACGTGTGTATTTTATTCAATCCTTGAAGAATAAGAAACCATTAATTATGAGAGATCCCAACATAAAAGCAGCCATTATTTTAACTAAAGAAATAGCTATATGATCGGTTCATAGGGAACCAGAATCGAACACAAAAAAACTTGTTATCTGCCATTGAATTTAATCAATATTAGGGCGATTCCAGCGCATTTATTTTCTCTGCTACTAGCTTACCTGATGTGACTGCGCTTAGTTAAAACCTATCAAAATCCTGCCAAAGAAATCACCGTAGCAATGACATGAATTCCAACTGACAGAATGAAAATTAGATACGGAGAAGCACCAATGAGGCCCGAAAAACTACCTCGGACAAGATCCAAACTGAAAGAAAAACTCATCGCTAGCAAAATTCCAAAACATAGTCTCCAAGCAGAAAATAAAGTGGCTGTTTTACATATCCAAACTTGAAATATCATATCCAAATCTTTAGTATTAATTCCACAATCTAATATCATTGAAAACAAATATTGCATAACTTATGTTCATCCAAACCCAGAGAAGGAAGAAGAGAGAGAAGATTGCATGACTCAACCTCAGGAAGCCATAACATTAAACCCATCCTCTATTAAAAAAAAAAAAATCCGTGCATCTAAGATTAGGGCATTAGAAACATATCGCTAATTTTTTAATCAAATAAAAAGATAAGTACTATTAATAGTATGTGCTGACAAAAAACTGCTCACTGTCCCTTAAATCAGTGAGAATTTCAAGCCTAACTTCTGACACGGCAACCACTGACTATCTATTTATACATTTTAAAAGACGTATAAAGCAGTACATAGCCACAAATTTAGCACTAAGAAGGATCATATTGCTTCAGTCCATTTATTAGATTAAACAATTCAGACTTGAACAACTTAATTAGGGGAATTGTTGCATTCACACGTAGAACACAGTAAATAATCACCTAATCCTATGAGGAAAATAAATAGATCAAATTCAAGGGCTAACTTTCGCATGACTATCATTATTATAGCCATCATTTAATCCAGAATCAACATCTACCTTGCATCAATTTTCACTTTCAAGAATATGAAATGTGCTATGAATATATATTACATTAACCTGACACTAACATTCTTGTATTTACATCATCATAGAGATAACTCACTAAGTCGTATAATATCTATCTACCAGATTTACATTTCCAGACATCTAAATTCAAAACACGCAGTAGCCTTTGAGATAGTCATCATGTACTCAAATCTCATGCTATCCCCAACAACCCCCCCCCCCAAAAAAAAAAAATAAGAAGAAGAAGAAGAAGGAAGAAAGAGGCCGGAGAAATATCTCCCCACATAACTCAACAAGGAGAACAGGCAAATATTAGCAAGACAAATGGAAAGGCCAACTTAGAAGAGAAGCAACTTCCCAAGTAAAGACATTTCATGCCTATGAAATTAGTAACATGACATTTTAGCATTTAATAATCCAAACCTGAAGAGAGAGAACAGCACGATCTGTAAATCGCTTCACAGAAGATGGTGTGTTTTGAGGAAGAGTTTTAGCTACTCTTTCTAATTCTTCTTGTTGCATCTTTGCAGTCACCCTATCTGGTCCACTGTAGTGATCAACAATCTTCTTCAACAATGGAACCTTCACCATTGTCTCTTCCATTATTTCCTAGAAAATCATATATGTTAGAAAAATGGGGGGAAAGGCAAATATCTCCCACAAACACTCCTCCACCCACATGTATGTACCACCAAAGCAAGTGACTACTTCTCTAAACATTGCATAAGTACAACATTTATCTGAATGTGATTGTAATATAGAATGAATAAAGCAAAGCCATTGAAAAACGCTGTAAGATGATCAGTAACCATTTGCAGATGATACAGAATAACAAGGTATACAACATCTGTATTCATTAAAAGAGACGGCTAGACCATTAATATAGAAACAAAAGCAGCACAATATTGATATACATCCTTTGGTCAAAGATCTCCACAAACACATGAAGCCAGAAGAAGTTAGCAAAAAAGAACAAGTACAGGTTATCAAAAACGACAAGGAAGCTATGTTTTATAAATTGTAAGAAATTCATGCCACTACATAAGTTGACTGGTAGAAAGGTTGAGAATCAAGCACATTATAGAATGACACGGATTCAATCAGCCAGTTTTATAGAGAACAGCAGCATAACATAATTCATGGGAAACAAACATGCCTTGCCAGATATTATCCACAACAATGAAGATGGCAGAAATGTTTTAAAAGAAGCTTGATGGCAAATCATCCACCATGAATAAGATCAGAAATTAAATGCAACTCTCACTGTTGGCAAAAAAAAGTACCTCCCACTCTTCTTGGCTCTGAATCCCTTCATATGCCATCAAGAATGGCTTCACCTTCTCAAGTGCATCTCTTAGTGGAATTGGTGGTTTCTCATCAATATCTGGATTCCTATCAAACTCACCCATCAAATATTCTGGTTCAAATTCTATCTGCAGCCAGCAAACAACAGAAAAGTAGAAAAGATCAACATTGTAATTTACTTGATAAAGGAAAAATATAAGATTAATTAAATAAGTTCAATTATAAGACTGATGACCATAGCATGCAATAAAGGCAAAAAAATTTTACTACATTCTTCCACCAGAGAGGGAATAATGCACCTTTACTCAGCTAACTACAACAAACAAATCATGCTCACCAAACAACAAAGATCATAATTACTATATCACTTTCCCATGATTTTCTCAACAACCGTGCATGGTTATCTACAATCACCACTTACCGCACAATTTACGTCCAGTGCATCCAAATATTCATCATACAACGGTGAGGGTAAAACTCTATCAGCCAACTCCTCAAATCCTTCAACCAATTGATTCATCACCTCAGGCCCAACCCTCTCGGCTAACTTCTCACCACTATCATCTGGATCTTCAACATAAATTCCTTTTGAAGAGGTATCATCAATACGCTGATCCCGACCATCCCTTTCTCCTCTGTCCCTCCATGTGAACCTTTCCCTTCCATCTCGTCCACGGCCCTGGCCTCTACCTTGACCAACCCCACCTGCAAATTCTCCTCTTCCCCTACCAGCAGTACCTCCTTTATCCCCTACTTGTGATAAAATTTTCCGTGCATTCTTCACTGCATCCTCCCGACTTAGTACTGGCTGACTCTTAGACACAGTCCTAGATGTGGTGGTGTCTAGAGTTTGCCGGGAACGTAGGTGCCGATTCTCTTCCTTGACTTGGTTCTCTGGATCAGGTTGCTTCATTGGCTTTCCCCTCCCAAGTCCAGACAACACCCCGCCATATTCCCCAGAAGTCTATTATTAACCTCACGATTGCCAATGCTAGAAATATTGGGCCTAGATTCAACTGATGGACTACCACTATCATCTCTTTTAAAGAACATAGGTTTTTTAGGCCCTGAATCATTTGTAGGTTGAGATACCGGTGGGCTAGTAACTTGGCCACGGCCTGCAGGTGGTGGTTTTAAAGAAGACAAAAATGATGAGAATGAAGGGTGACCCGAGGATGGTGGAGGAAGGGGCTTGCCTCGGCCATGACCGAGACCAGAAGGTCCAGATCCAGGAAGAACAGGTGACTCAGGTGAGTCAGATTTTGACTCATCAGGGACAGGCTTACCCAGAACTCGTCCACTGAAGTCAATATGCCCTGTGCTGGAGGGAGGGCCACCACGGCCACGGCCACCACCTGCACCAGAATTGGAGAAAGTTGAATATGGAATCAGTGTTTGCCTGGCATGGGAGGTATTGGTGTTTGGCAGCCTTGTTCCAAATCCAACGTTTCCTCTCATTGAGGTGGCACAAATGCTTTAGAAATGGAGGTTCTGTGTTTAGTAAAGAAGACTGAATTGCACAGGTCAGAGAGTTTTCGGCCACATCTACCTGAAAAAAAGAAATGCATATGCATTATCAATTTATTCACTTTGTTGGAAAGGAGAAGAAACATCAGAGAATTATTTCAAACCATTGGTGATAAAGGTAAACATTAGAGATGTATTAATTTTAAGATTTCTCATCCTTGCTCTGTTCTCTGCCTTTTCCATTTCTCCATCTAGCTTTTATTACATTATTGCTGCCGTAACACCCTTAATAAGCTCTCTGTCTTAAGCACCGATGCATTATATCCAGCAATCTCATGACAAAACGACAGTAAAGTGAGATTTTCAACTAACCGAATTTGTTAAAACCGCTTCTAGACTAACAGAAAGTTAACCATGAGAGTGGATTTTCCACTCAACCAACCACTGACTTGGTATGGCTATTGAAGTATTAAAACAATTAGTTCAAAATTTGAATTTTTAAAGCGACGCTGAAGTTTCAACCAGGGGTGAGAGATGGGGATGAGTGGGACATATGAAATACAGTAGCAGGCGAATAGATTAGAGAAGAGAATGCGAGCAGAAGTTCAGATAGAAGGAGGACTTACCGCGAACGAAGACCCAAGTATAACCGCCGAAGACGAGGACTCTGCTGTGAAGGAACGCCGACGACGATCACGGCGACAATGAAGACGACAGTGAGGTCCGGAGAAATGAATGACGAAACAGGCAAGGCCTAGGGCATTCGATTTCCATTTTCAGCATTTGGGGTTTTTGCTTGATAAACAAAAACGACGTAGTTTCTTGCTTTAAAAGGAAATAAAATAAATCAGCAAACGAACCATGATGATTTTCTCTATTCATAAAATTAAAAATAAAAAAGAAAAAATTGTCCGGAAAAAACTCCAACAAATATGAGATTGTTGAAATGGACTTGAGAATTTGAGGAAGAACTTGGCCTTATAGTGTTAATATGTTCAAATGTTAAAAGACTAAATTATCTTTAATAAAATTTTTCTTTTTGCTCAAAAATTCTTTCTTTTCGTTGGAGCTCCTCCAGTTCTTTAAAGTCGTGTATCGATGATTTGGAGCAAATGAAAAGATTAAGGTTCATTGGCTCTCAAAGAGAAGCTCCTAAGTTTGATGATTTTGTTTATTCTTGTTGATTTAAGCTTTGAAGTTTGTTTTGTTGTTAAAAATCAATCCCAAAAGCCAAGTTTCCAACAATCATAATCTAGATTTGGATTTATGTAAGAAAGAGAGAAGATGGTAGTGAAGTTATTCTATTTTAGGAGTGTTATTATCTTGTGGGAGTCATTTTGTCTGCATTATAGCCTCCATGGAGCATGACCTTATACACCTCTTATAATTGCTTCCTTGATTCAAGCTACTTTGTGATATTTGAAATTTTTTATTGGTGCATTTCTAGTTTTTCCCCCTTAAAAATGCCAATTTCAAATGTTACCTAATCCATTTCAATTACTTTGAATAATTGCAATTATCATCTTTAGCTGGAATAATGTGAGCTTACTTAGTTTCTTTTGGAATCCTTCCCTATTACACCTAAGGCTCAATCTATTTTGGGATCTTTTCAAGTTGAGCTTGAAACTTTACTGCACACACTCATCTCTATATTATAGGATATCAAATGCACTTTGTGTTATGGGCTTCACTTCTCTACTAACTCATCTCTTATGTTGCAGGCTTACTCTAATGCTGATTGGGGTAGTAATTGTGATAATCGACGATCTACAATTGGTTTTTATATCCTCCTTAATCATTGCCTTATCTCTTGGAGAAGTAAGAAGTAGATGTAGCCTCTCGCTCCAATATTGAATTGAAATACTATGTATTAGGAGACACAATCATCGAGGTGCTTTGGCTTTATTAATTACTTGATAAGCTAGGAGTACCTCAAAAGCTCCTCAACAAACATCTATTATGACAATTAAGTTGCAATCAAAATTACTCACAATGATATCTTTCATGAGTAGACCAAATACATTGAGATTGACTATCTCTTTACTCAGCAGCATGTTGTTCAGGACACCATCTGACTTATTCCAATTCGAACCAAGTATCAACTAGAAGACTTATTTATGAAGTCTTTTCATCCAAGCAATTTTCAATTTCTAGAAGACAAATTCAAATTGCTCTTTATTAAGCCATTTTGAGTTTGAGAGAGGATGTTATCAAAAATGTTTTTAAAATATTTTACTTTTATTATGTCATTATTAAAAGATATTATTTAATATGATGTTGTTGTAAATAATTATTATTAAGTAGTATTTTCCTCCCTGTATATATTGTACTTTTCATAATAGTAATAGACATGATATTTTCTAATCTTCTTTGGTCTCTTTCTCGTCTAAGATAGCTTTCATGAACATAATATGAAAATCCAATCTAATATTTTACCAGAAGAAAAAAAATCCCAATATAAAGGTGGCAAAAAAAAACAGGAGAAAAGGAAACGAAAATAAAACCTTTCAAGAAGAAAGACATCATTCATTGTACAATGCCACTATAACCAAAAAGGAGCTTCAATCCTAAAATAAGACTTTTGTTATAGTCCTCTACAATGATACGCTGATCAAACAGTAAATCAAGCAAATATATTAGATCCCAATAATTTAATTTCTTAAATATAGTGATTTGAAAGATAGATAAATTTAAAGGGTTGCTAAGTTTAATTTTCCAAACTTCTTCAAATGTTAAATTCTTGGCAAGAGTAGTTTTGAAAAGTTTGTGATTGATTGCTAATTTTGTAATTACTGAAAAGTCTGATTATAATATCTTTTAGTGCCAAAGGCCAAAATTTCCTTTTACCCAAAAAAAAACCAAAATTTCCCTTTAATTGAACCTTATTCTATAAATTTTAAGGATAAATTTGAATTTTCATTTTAAAAAAAGATTTAGCACTTCTAGCTAATTTTCATCCATCCATTAATGACTTTAAAGTCCAGTGGCATGTAAGATTTTTTTTGTAAGTGGAAAATTGTATGTATTATCCTGCTTAGAACTTCAAACTATTAGTACTTTTTTTTAACCAAAAAAGAGAGAAATGCATTAAGTGGAAATAGAACAAAGTTTAAGCTATAAGCTAGAGGCAAAGGCAGCAATACAAAAAAGTTACAAAAATAAATATCTAGCCAATCCCTCCTGGTCATAAATAGAAGTGAGTGTTGTTAGTTAAACAGAAATGAGTTTGAATCTTTAAGGAGCATTGATGAAAGAGGGAGTGAAGGTTCACGAACCTAACTTGAAGGTTTTACTCTCTTAGATGTAGAGGCAGTGAGATAATCTGTAGCTAGATTCCCTAATTGTCTAACTAAAGAGAAGCATAGCAAAGGGAAAGATTTAGTACCCTTTATCAAATTAGATAACAACACATGGAATAATCAATTACAACTACCATAGTATTTAGATGATAGGGCTTTAAAAAGATCTTGGCAAACAGGTTCCAAGACTATGGATTGATGAATTTTAGCCTAAAGTAAAGATAGTTCTCTAGCAAGTGAGCATTTCATACATAAACCCAAATGAAGTAGTGACCCTTTCACACCAACCCTTTATGAAATTGCATGAATAATCTCTCCACACTATGCCTATGCCAACATGGTTAGAAGCTCGAAATGAGGTATCACGGTTTACTTTAATTACATTTAGGGAAGGGGGCAGCCAAACTTTAGACACAGGTTCAATAATAATTGTAACAAGTTCTTCCTTAAAATTGGCTTTCCAAAATTGAGAGAGCAGCATTAGTAAATGATATTACTAAAAAAGGCTCAATAATAGCCCTTGAGAAAATTGAGGAAGATCTCAACTTCTAAATATTCCAGCATTAGTTAGCAATATACAGCTTGCCAAAATCATCAATTAAAGAGTCATGGAGGAAAAATTTACAACACCAACAATCATAGGATGTAATATCAGCAGCATGAATGTTCAGGATCAAAAAACAGCCAAACCAAGCCTGCTTGGCCCAACCCTTAGAAAGAGCAAATTCTCAACTGTTTAGTGCTTGACCTTATAATTTTAATGAAATTTCATCCATTCTAGTTGCTACTCAAGGCAAACGTGTTGTGGCAAAGCTTCTCGACCAAAAAAACACGCCCAAGCTAAAGCTGTAACTGAAATTCACGGTGGTTTCCTTCAGAGCAATCATATCATCATGTCCTATCCTATTGCATTATTAAAAAGGAGACAGTTTCTTGTTATAATAATATTTCGGCTCTTCTTGTGGATCGGCTGCTCTCAACTGTTTGCTCCGCATTTTGACAGACATGAAGCCAATCTCTCATGGTTCATGACCTTGTGTTTCAGATCCTGTAGCCTTGCCCATGCTTAACCGCACATGGTCCAATAAAAAAACAAAACAAAACAAAACATTTGCTGAAGTTTTGATTACAACCTTGATCAAATCCCTGGTGAGAAGAAGATGAGGATATGAGAGTATGCAGGTTTGGCACTAACTGAGATTTGACTCTGCTTCAAAACCCTAAAAGGGATCTCCGAATAAAGAATGGGGAGGCAGAGTTTGGGTTGGGATTTGGGAACCACGATGATAACAATTAAGACCAACCTTAAAATTAGATGTGGTATCTTTGGAGCTATAAAATTAATCCAACCTTTTATTAAATGATTGCTTGTTGCAAGCTGTCCGCACTGATATCAAATTGTGGCAATGTAACGCACCTCCAGAACCGAACCAACCAGGGAAAAATAAAAAAGGCACATACCTTCCATCTACCAGCACGACAACACAGTTTTGTGCGCAAAACTTCACTTCCGTGTTCCTTTATTTATTTGATTCTCTATGTATTTATATGCGTGTAAAGAAGTAGTTTGAGGGCCTTTTTTTGATTTTTTTTTTTAAATGTAGTCAAGTGACTCCCAATTCTATTGCTACGAATTAAGAATTTTAACACTAATTTTTTAAATGATTATAGCAGATATTATCACTACTAATTCTTAAATTTAATGTATTTACATTAAACAGTTAAAAGTTAGATGTTACACAATAAAAAGTCAGATGAGGGCGAGGCATGGTGTTCGTTTTTCTTTCACCCTCCCAGTGTTCGTACAACAGGAAAGAAGAACCAATTTGCTGAACCGTGTTTCTTTATTAATAAACATTGGATTCTCTTTTTTGTTAAGAGGTCAGATACTCAGATTCTCCATTTGTTTCATCTTCGCTGTAACAGTATTTAAAGCCAAGATTTTTCCCCGCTCCCTCCCTGTCTTTACCTGCTTGATTGATATTAATTTACACTACAATACTGGAATATAACGCAATTGACCCATGTCTAGCAGAAAAGGTTTCCTTAAAGAGCTAAAAAAGTAGCGGCTTTAATTCTTGCAATGATGGTCGTAATCATGGCTTCCAGCCCCTTTCCAGTTTCCTTTTGCAGAGAAAAGTGATAGAGCCCAGCCATGAAAGGAGCCTGTCTGATGCCACTATAATATAATCCAATTGTTGACTTCAAATGTATTTTTAGATTTTAAACACTCAGGTTGGTGCCATATGATAGAAGCTATATCAAACTGAAAGAACGCTCAGCCTCAAGGCTATGCCGTTGCTGGAACTCAACAGGCAACAGTGTCAGAGCTGAAGCCGCGGCTTCCAAACTGAAAAAATAAATGCAATTGAATATTTCTGTCTTACAAGTTACAAGCCTATGCTCTTCTTCTGTTGATTACATTACATTCTAATGGCAATTTCTATTTCACAAAAGTCCTAAGAATAAGAAATGAGATGTGCTCGCATCCACAAACAAGAAAACATCTCAGTGGTCCACATAAACAGGCAGGACCGAACTTCTGGATCTACTACTACCATGTCCGAAGGAAAAGAATGACCTCTTGACTCTACCACTGCTACACCCTTCAATGGAGGACGATGATACCTCACTCGCTTCTTGTCTGTTCTGTTTCTTCAGCGCTTCTTGAACTGCCATGTACAACTGTCTATCCCTTGAAGAATCCATGGAGAAAGACCTCCTTATGGGCTGCACTGAAAACTGCTCGTCTTTTCCCCTGGTATCGATGCACTCATCGTCCATGCTCGTCACTTTCTGAAACTTCCATGGTTTTTTCTTCTGCTCCGTTATCTTCCTGGGCGAAGGACTCACCTCCCGAGGCGGGTTTTCTCTTTCCTGTGTTCCATTCGAGCTCTGGTTTCTATCGTGACCATTAGTGCTGAGTTCAATCACCACAAAATCTTCATCCCCGCCATTGAGATTTTCGCCATACGGGCGTCGATCTTGCGAGGATGGTCTGGAATTCAGCATCTGATCGATTTGGAATCTGGTGGATAGAGAAATGCTTGTTCTGCAAAGCGGGCAATTGGCGTTGTTCTGAAGCCAAACGTCGATGCAATCTATGTGGAACACGTGGCTGCAATTCGGTATAATCCTCAACTTCTCCTTCTCGCGAAACTCGTTCAGGCAAACAGAGCATTCCGTGAAGCTTCGCTCTTCGGATTCTTTGTTTTCCTCTGCTCTGTAATGGATGACTGGGATTAATCGGATCACCGCCTCGTCGAGTCCTCGAGGTTCTGTGCCCCCCGGCGAGTAAGCCATCGGTGGCTCTTCTCGCCGCCGAGACGGAGAGAATCGTCTTAGGAGATCTATGCGGTGCCAATTGAGGCAGCACTTGATGACGAAGATATAGTAGCTGACGAGCAAGAAAGCTGTGGCTAGTATTCCTATTATAGCGATTGCTATAATGGGGAAACTGGCGCTCGCAGAATGCGAATGTGGGCGAAGGATTGAACTCACTGGGCTTGATAATGGCGAGAGGGGCTGAGACCCAGAAATCAAGAATCTCCTTCTCGCAAGATCCATAACAGATGTGAAAGAAAGCGCAGAGAAATGGGTTGCCCAATGCCGTTTAGATCTCTGTCATGAGCACAGGACATGAAGAGAAAGAATGTGGAGAACAGAGAGGAAGAGGGAAGACCCTGGAGGGACTTTAAATGAGGGAGGTGGTGAGGGGAGCCATGACAGGGATTTGATTATTATTGAATGAAAAT